CACTGAGAGAACACTGCAGGTAATAATGTCCTGAGAGCGCACGCTGTAGCTGCATTCACGCAGAGACATGAAGGAGGAGATGTATGAAGGCAGCAGACCAAGAAGTGATTTAAAAATGAAAATGTACCAGTTGTACACCATGTGTGGCATACAGATGCTAAAGTGCCTGATGTATGGGTATTTGAAGGCATCTACTGTACACTGTGAAAGTTTTGGTTGCCTGAGACAGACAGCACAAGGGTGGATTGTCATATTGCACATTAAGCATTACAGGACCCCATAACATAATCTGCTATCTGGACACAGGTGCTAGCCTTAGTACAACTTCTTGTGTCATCCCAAAATGTGTCTCAACTACTGGCATCAGCTGAAATGACTAAAGTTTCAATGTTCCAAATGTAGGCTGCCATTAACACCCAGGCAGAGAGGGCTCCTCTGGACAGTTTCTTTTTGTTGAAACGTTTCATCTTTCATCCAAAATACTTCATCAGTCTGAGGAGCCACAAGAAACACAGTCTTAAAAGCACCTTCACATAGTGGGTCAACCAGTTTGATGGTGCTCAGATGGTTTCTGGAGTGTGGCTCCTTGGTCTGATGAAGGAAACGTTTCAACAAAAAGGAACCGTCCAGAGGACCTGACTTAACTGTTGAACTCTCGGTTTTGTTTTACCACACATGTCCATCGTGCAGGCTTATAGTCACACTGAGGGGAGAGCACCAAATCTGCCATTGTTGTGGAGAGACACGCCAACAGAACTTTTCACATAATGTGGGGAGCCTTACAGTAGGACTTCAGGTCATCTCTGGTAGTGACCTAGAAGACCCTGATAGCACAGCATCATGCCATTTACTGTATGTCCTACATCCACATGTCTAAAGAGCCCTGCGTATTCTATCTGAAGATGTGAAAGCAGCTCTCATTGACATAGTTGTGTGACAAAAATCATGTCGTTTCATTCACAGAGTAGCTTAGCCCACCCATTCTCAACACAAGGCCCGAGCCAGACTTTTTCTCAGACGTATACGTCAAGAATTGTGTGAATGGTCAGAAGTTTGTGAGCATGTTCCAAATGCAGCTGCATAACACTTCAAACACACTAAATTACTCCAAAGGACAAAAACTCCTGGATGGAGATCATGCAGCTGTTGTGTATAGAGTCTGTTAGCTGAAAAGTGTGGCATTTTCTTCATGATATATTTGTGGCTTAACGGCGGATGCCGAGATGGAATGGTGGGAAGAAACCTTCGTGGTGACGTATACAAATTTCAAGGTTCTATTGTCGTTCGCATCACGTGGTACATGGGGTGGAACAAAATTATGTACTCAAGGTCCCAGATACATCCAAAAATAGCAAAGATATAAAGAATAAAAAGAAACAGTATACAAATATCTAAGATATACACTAAGATATACACTGATACACACTAAGATATACACTAAGATATACACTAAGATATACACTAATACATACACTAAGATATACACTAATACATACACTAAGATATACACTGATATACACTACGATATACACTGATATACACTAAGATATACGATAAGATATACACTAAGATTTACACTGATATACACTAAGATATACACTAAGATATATGCTAAGATATACACTAAGATATATGCTAAGATATATGCTAAGATATACACTAAGATATACACTGATATACACTGATATACAATAAGATAGACACTAATATATACACTAAGATATACACTGATATACACTAAGATATATGCTAAGATATACACTAAGATATACGCTAATACATACACTAAGATATACACAAATATACACTAAGATAAACGTTAAGATATACAGTAAGATATACACAGATATACTCTAAGATATACACTGATATACACTAAGATATACGATAAGATATACACTAAGATATACACAGATATACACTAAGATATACACTAACATATACCGTAAGATATACACTAAGATATATGCTAAGATATACACTGATATACACTAAGATATATGCTAAGATATACACTAAGATATACACTGATATACGCTAAGATAAAAGTTGGGACAAGTAGCAATAAGTGTCTGGAAAAAGGAAATTGAGCATATAACAAACAGCTGGAAGACCAATTAACACTAATTAGGTCAACTGACAACATGATTGGGTATAAAAAGTGCTTCTCAGAGTGTCAGTGTCTCTCAGAA